CATTGTAATGATAGGTTGGTGTTTCTTATAATACCTGCCACTAATAATAGGTCATTCCCAGCATTTTTAAAATAAAAAAAATCTATATTTATCCAACATATTCATGACTAATGTTGTCCTGTTGAAAGGAGGAGGAGGAGAAGGAAGAAGAGGAGGTTAGCTTGTGAATTTTTCAGGATACCCACCTAATTCTTCCAAATCTTAATCAAAAAATGTGCCCCATTAGAAGGGCCTAAGTTGTGAAGCACAGCGTCACACTTCTCCAAACTGATTTGCAAATAGACATTTGCATGTCTTAATGATCTCTTGCACCTTAGGCTACACATCGATCTCTCATCCAGAGTTACTCTTGGCCACACAATAAAATGCTGGGGGGAGGAGGGGGAGCGCACCCCAAAATGTAGGTGGGCCAGTGTAAAAAGGAGGAGGGCCAGAACAAAACCTAAACCTCATTTGATTTGAGTCCATTTACATTTAAATTGAATTAAACCGCATTCAATTAATTTAATTTAAACTAAATTAATTGAATACACTTGATGTGGTTACTGTTTAATCATTTCCTGCTTCTGGCACATTAACAACTACAATGGGAATTTCAATTTCAATTTTACAATGAGATGGGAATTTCTGCAGAGCTTTGAAGGGTTTGCTTCCAAAGTTTCCAAAGGTAGGGTGCCTATGGTGATGGGTTACAAACAAATAGTTTTGTTTAGAGAAAATAATTGAATATTTCTTTCATGGAGAGATGATTAGGGAAGTCTCAGTCTTCCAGGATTTAATTCCATGTGGCGTATCATCTATTTCCTGGGTGTGCCTTAGTCTTTATCATCATTCCCAGGGTGAAGCTGGCCTAGCACCAAATTTTTAAAAGAGAATATTTGCAGTTCAGGGTTGAAATGAGGAGTCCTTGTAGCCCTCTGACTTTGGTTGTGATGTTTCATGACCCAAACTATGTAACATCATCAGTGGATATAGTTGATTCTAGCACGGATAGTGTTACCTAGTTTACAATGCCTTGGTAAGGCCACACGTGGAATACAACATCCAGTTTTGGTCACCACGATGTAAAAAAGATGTTGAGACTCTAGAAAAAGTGCAGAGAAGCAATCTAGAACTAAGGAGAAACTTCCTGACAGTTAGAACAATTAACCAATGGAACAACCTGCCTCAAGAAGCGGTGAATGCTCCAACATTGGGAGTTTTTAAGAAGAGACTGGACAGCCATTTGTCCGAAATGGTGTAGGGTTTCCTGCCTGAGCAGAGGGTTGGACTCGATGACCTCCAAGGTCCCTTCCAACTCTATTATTATTATTATTATTATTATTATTATTATTTGGTCATAAATGTTACTCTGCTAGTAGGTCAATAAAAATGAACCAGATTTATATTGATCTGTAGGTTCCATGTGTTTTTATGTGTTGATGGGGAGGGTTTTGTGTGTGTGTGTTCGTGCATGTGCAGGCAAGTAACCAAACTGTGCCACATGAATTTTCCTGGCATGCAGATTCTTCGCCATCTTTAATTCTGTTACATGTGTCAAGTGATGAGTGAAACTCTGTATAATTTGCATGAAATATTAGCACATGCCTGTAGGATGCTTTTAACGTGGCAATTTGCCTTTTGGGGGCCTCAACTGATGAGACATGTCAACTCTCCTCTCATTGATCATTTTATGGGGATTTAATTGAATCCCACTTAAAAGGTATCAACTAACAGTTCTTCATGAAGTCATCCAAGGCTGTAACCACAAGCACATAGTTGGGTAATTAAAAAAAGGACTATCAGATTTTTCATCTAAAATGAGTTATTTTTAGTACAAATTCACTTCCCTTCCCTAAATAAGCTGCTACAGAATGTCTATGTGTGCTGGTGGAAATGTATTACTAAATGATTTTAATTAAAGATGCTATGTGTTGATAATAGGTACAAAGATCCTAAGCCATATGCAAATATATCATATGGCATTGATTCTCCAGCCACAACATTTTATGATTAGTACAAATCTTGGAATACAAGAAAGGGAGAAACCTGAATTACCGTAGTAACCTAGAGATAGACTCTACAAAATTTGCTTTGTGTCAATCTAATCTGATTACAAGTAAATTAACTAATAAATCCAGAAGGGAGTTGGGCTATTATAATTGTTCATTTTTTTATCACTTCTGTTGCTTTTATTGCTTCTGTTTTCTTTAGATGTTTACCTTGTCTTCTTGGTCAATTGTATGAATATATACCCCTAACAACTGTTTTAAGGTCTTGGAATTTGCTAGCCTGCCCTTTTTTTTTAGATTTTTATCAAAATAGATTTTAAAAATATGCTTTGTCATATAATGGAAACCCCTCCAGCTCAACCGATTCTGTACTTTTCATTGATTGTGAAGTCAGGGATAACAATGTCCCATTGATTTTCATTGTTCCATCAGTTTTCTGATATGCCTCCTATGCCTATATTTTCTTTTGATTCAAGGCTCTCTAATTAACCCATTTTAGCTTTGGAGTTTTTAGAATTTGCACATAAAACACCAGAATTCATTCCTCCAATCATGTCTCACATACTTATCCTCACTAAAGATTTATTTCTATTTATTATGCATAGAGAGAGACAAGGAGAATGTCTATAGTATGATTCAGAGAGAAGAACAATTTGATGAAGAAGCCTGTATAACATGACTGAGCCCCAAATAAAACACCCTGTGCCACTATCAGCCTGCAAATTTACTTTTTTTTTTAACAGACCTCTTGTTTCTGAATGAATATGTGAGAGTTGGGTGACTTAATCCTCTCTCTTTGTAATTGGCAAAAGGAATAACTTTGAGGAAGAACAACACAACAGAAATTTAAGTCTGGCTAGAAATGCAATTAGAGAAAGCTTCTAAGGACATTCAGACTTGGAAGATTCTATCACTATAATTCTATAACAAAGATAATATTAGCATTCATAACTTTGGTTTCCCAGTTTGGTCTACCTTGAAGGGCTGACACTCCTATATTGCAAGGTACCATTTAAACACATGTCTAACTGAGAATAATCATCTTCTGCTCTATTTTCCCAACAAGCTCTTTAATGTATATAATTATTATTTCCCACAATTTCAAATCCAGTAGGTAAGTTATTATAGGTTCCACAAACTTATGTAGTCACTATTAAACCCTTCTCCTTGGAGAGAAGAGTACCCCCTAGTTTCTAAGAAAGTGAAGGAAATACCTGTGTGATTATCTTGTTAATTATACAATATTCTCCCCAGTAAATCAGCACATTCTGGATTTGCATGCTTCTCAAGGGAAGAAATTAAGAGGGAACTCCTCACATTTTTTTCCTAGACTGGGAAATTACATAGCAAGGGAATCCTCAGAATGCTGGAAAAAAAAATGTGTCATAAAACTCAGAATCATTGAGAAGAAGAGGAGAGGGATAAGTAAGTAGAAAGATGGAGGAGAGAGGGAGGGGAGGAGAGGAGGAGGTAGAAGGAAGGGGGAAGTGAAGAGATGAGAGGGGGATGTGGTCTGGGGGGAAATGGGTGAGCAATGTCAGAATTTGTGTGTTGTATTTTAACTTCTTATGTATCTGAATTTTTCTTCTTATGATTGTAATGAAAATAAAATAATAAAAATTGGGGAAAAAAAAACTCAGAATCATAGCAGTTTACACTTTCTGCCATTTCCAAGTTCCATTTGAAGAAATGCAAATTCAAGCAACCCTGACAGATGGATGGTGTGTCACTCTTGGGATGTAGGTCATACTCTCTTTTGTCAAGCTTAAATTAGTGTTAGAACTTCTGACCACAGCAGGATGCTTGGTCCTCCAGACGCCAGAATGTCTATGAGGACTGTGGAGCACAGGACATCCTTTACAAGGAGTTTACTGATGGAAGACACCCATAGGCAGAGAACTGGTGTGGTCTTGGGGCAATGATAATTGAGAGACAGGAAATTTGGGGACAGCAGCCAGTTCGACTAGACTTCTTCCTGCTGCCTCAGGAGAAATGTCCTTCAAAGTGCCAGCTCTCCTCAACTGGCTGGAGGATGTTGATGACAAAATCAGTTCTGCTGTATCCCGAAGGTATCTTCTTCCTTGCCTTCTTTTCTGTTCTCCAGCATAGTTTATATAATTGGCAAAGAGGATGGCAGTACAACAAGAAAATCCAGCACTACAGTGGTAGAGAATACTTATTTACCCTTTTCCTGTGTTCTTGATACTCCACCCAAAAGTTTCACTTTTTCAGAAGTTTATTGCTTGTCTACAGCAAGGAAGGCAATGGTGAGAAGGATGGGAAGGAAGATTCAGCAATATCTGAAGATCACGTGTTGATCATCTCTAGTTAGACTTGAACTATTGGTTGAAGGAGAGGATGTGGTGGGTTAAAAGACATTCCAGTTTAGAGTCTATTGGAGAAAGAAAAGGTTTGAGACGAAACCTTTAGGTCTGCATCTGTTGTTTCCCAAGAGAAGGAAAATAGTCTGGTGAGATTCTTGTAGACTGATGATCAACAGTAAAGAAACCTATTTGACCCATTCACAGAGCTCTTCTGTGTGCTTGTGCTTGGATTTTTATCTATAATACTAGATTTTTTGCACTCCTTTGCCTGATCAAAGGAGGGGGGAAAGATCTCTAATTGATTCTTAAAAATTAAATATCTCTAATATTGCATAAATGCAGATAGCAACAGTTAAAATGTAACTTAAAAATAATAAATCAGAAAAACACAGCATTTCTCCTCACCTTTTTTTTAAAGTTGATTGTGCTTCCCGTGCTAATGTTTGTACAAGTTTGTAGAAAGCAATCCTAATTTCAAACAGTTGAAATTATCCCAGGTTTCCTTTTTTCCCCAGGTGTTTCCTGGTAATATCTATTGTCAAGATTAGTTGGCTGTTTCTTAAACTCTGACACCTCCTCTATAGTCCTTGGACTGGACATAAAATCAATTCAGGGCCTGCTTGCCTGATCCAAATGTAGTCTCATTCACCTGGCCAACATCAACTTTCCTTTCCTTTCTCACCAGCTTTGCCAGAGAATGACAAACTCATCCTTCCACCAGTCAACAGCAGGGGTGACCATCGGTTGAGGACCAGTGAGACAATTCAGTGATGTGGTGAGAACTATGCCTAAATGCAAATGCTGCCTTTATGTCACTGTTAGTCTTTTCTTTCTAATAAGGTGGCTTCTGCTGAGTTCATCTGATTGGAGACTAAGGCGTAGTCCAAGAAGAACAATGACAGCTTCCTCCTATTGCATTTGAATATATCTTCCCCTTGGCAGGACACACAAAATTAACCTCTAGAGAGGGTGTACCCATTGCTCAGAGCACTAATTCCCTCAATACAATAATGATATGCAAAATGGAGCTAAACCAAGTGAGATACATAGAGCTCCAGCCTATGTATAGGAATGGCACTGACCTCCATCACTTTGCTGGTAAATACCACCTTGGCTTTTAACACCAACAAGAGAGGATGTGATAATCAAAGAATTTAGCAACTGCTGTGTTTCAAGAACACATCTTATCTACAGAAACAAGGTGTTTAGAACTCCTGTGTGACTTTTCCTTGTCATATATGAAATGGATAGATGGCCAATCTTTTGAATGGGCCAGTCTATTTCCATCAGTTCTTTGTTTCCGCAATGATTACATTCCTCCCTCCCTCCCTCTATTGTGCTCTGTACTTATAACATTGTCTTGTGACATCATTTTATTTCTGTCCTGCCTCTGGTGACCCTGGGTCACCCACGCACGAAAGATTGAGTGCAAGTAATAGTTTCCTGGGTTTAAAATATTTAAAAATGTCATGCTCTGATCTGTATATTCTTATCTATATTCATGGCTTTAAAGCTCATTCTTGGATGAAAAAGTTAAGGAACTGAATAGCCACTCATGACTTGTGGGTAATCAACTGAAGTGTCTTGCTCTTTCTCCAAACCAGATCTGCCAGATCCCAATGGGTAGATCATCTTGACTTTAGGAAGTTACTGCAGAAATCAGTGGGGCAGACTTGAAAAAGCTAGATCATCTTAAGAGTGGTACAAATTCTTAATGTTAGTTAAGAAAACTTTATATTTCTTTGATTTTGTTTATGTCCATATTTCATGTACTGTATATGTAAAACTAGATAAATGTCCCTCAGTTTAGTTCAAAGTCTGTCCCTGTGCATTCAGTAATACCTGGACATTCATTACTTAAGTCACCTATGAGGCAGATAGATGTCGCAGCAATAAAGGCAGACAAATTCTTATTAGAAGGAGTAGACATCTCCACATGATGCTATCACTTCATTAGGTAATTTACCAGCAACTCAGTTCACACTACTAAACTGGAAAAAGCTAGAGAGAGAAACCTTTTGCACATTTAATGAGCTCAGTGCAACAGTTCATTACCCAGAACATTAAAGTCTCTGGCTTAAAAATAAACAAACTGTGTGGTTTACAGGATGCTTCTGTTGATTTAGCAGAGGAAGGCTTAGACTCAAAATTCTAAACTAAGCTGTCATCATCATCATCACCATCATGTTATGTTAATGTTATTATACAGTAATGTTCATGTTATAACACAGTAATTCACATTTCATGAATGGAAGCTAAGTGAGATGGATGGACAGCTAAATGTACAGTAGATATCCACTACTGATTGTGATGAATCATGCATGGAGAAACACAGCACAAACCCCACGGAAATGAGTTCTATGGGGATAAGAAAGAAGCTGGAGAATCTCAAAACAAGATTAACCATCAGTAGGTTGTCCTCTTTGTAGCATTAGATGAAGACTGAAGTATTTGCTTTACTAAATAAAATGCATAATCTCTCAGTGAGAGAAAGCACTGGGGCGCTCAAGGCAGGGGAGGAAATAGAAAATTCAACATCTCTGGAAAATAACCTCTGTCCTTTGACAATGCCACCTCAAAGTAAATAAACCAAAGGCTTTCTCTTTCTCCACATCTGGGAAATGGAATTTAGTTTCTCCTTTTTACTCCTTTCTACATTCATTTTATACTTCCTGTTTTTGATGTCCTCTGGAAAGTTGAGAGGAAATTGGAGTACATTTTCAGTGCTGGAAAACAGAAAGCATTCCTGAAGTCAATATAATATTAGCTTGACTTTCCCTTGGATGCAGACCTGACTGGGTTGCATAAGGTTTAAGCCTGGGGCATTGAAACATATTTATTTGTCAAAATAGTAGGATCCGCAATCAAATGATACTATACAGAGTGAATTCTCCTTCTTTTAGTTTGTTTGCTCCATTCCTCCACCTGTTTCCAAAAATATTTAAGTTTTCATTGGCTTTGAAGGATTCCGCTTTTTTAAAAAAATTCTGAAAATCTTGGAAGATTAGAGATTTCACTGTACTATCTCACTGTGTCTATGTGATGCTAAGACAGATAGAGGATTGATAGATAGATGGATGTATAGGTAGATGAGTAGGTAGGTTGGTCTGTAGGTAGATAGGAAGGTAGATAGGTAGACAGATAGGTAGATAGGTAGACAGATAGATAGAAACCTAGATAGCTAGATAGAATCATCATCAATAACATGCTCCCTGGATCCAGACTTAATACACTTTTTCATCTTTCTTTCATCATGTCTATGCTAGAAAAATGACAATACCACGGAAGATGGACATAGACCTGCCCACCTATAGACACAGGCACCTCAAAATTAAATAAGGACAAACACACTGCGCTCCAGCCCTCAACTGGTCCCCTAAGTCTCCTCTGAAATGTATTTCAAAAACAATCTCTCTTCCACTGAAGAGAATCAGAACTGCTCAGAAAGAAAAATAGTGCAAGGGAAAAAAATCTTGGTAGAAATGAAAGAAATGTCTTTAGCTGGAGAAGGCAGAAGCTTTTGGAAAGAGCAGAGGGTTTTCTGGCTCTTGGTTAATAGGAAACAAGACTCCCAAAGCAAGCCTGGAAAGCGTGCAAACAGAAAACCCTATGCTAATGGCAATGCTAGTCTCACAGCCAATGGAAGGCCATTTATTTCCCATCCGCATTTTCAAAGCTCAAATAAAATCCAGTTCCAGACTGAGTTCATCCTCCCCCCTGTGCGCCACAGAGAGCGAGAGAAGCAATAGCAGTTGGGGGTGTCTACAAACTTTCTTATTTATTTGTCTCTTTCTCTGGGCAACAGAAGCAACTCTGTCCATTGAACGGTGGGTTTTGTCTGCCTCAAAGTGAGAAGAAAACAAAAGCAGCATTAAAACTGGAACGCCGTGGTCATCCCCGCACCATACCGGCTTGGATGACTCTCCGTCTATGCGGCTTTTATGTATTAGCACAACTATCAATAGTCTTCTTGTCCCGTGTTCCCCCACAGGGTTACATGAGTACTGTGTCATTCAATAGCGTCCCCCTCCCTACCCCACACTTCTCTCCCTGCAACGGCCTTTCAACATACATTTATAGTCTTCAAGGATTGTTGTGGCATTATAATCAGTCATAATGTCCAGCGGTTACTGAGAGCTCATTGGCACATTGAAGTTGATGGCCCATTGTGAGCAGGACAAAGCAATTCTTGTTAAGAGCTGGATTACAAAAGGCAAACACAATGTATGCATTACTTGTGGATACAAAAGATGAAAATAACACCGGGGGAAGAAAAGGGCGACATTCGGGGACCGAAAATGAGACCTTTGGCCTGGTGAAAGCACTTCTGACTTTTTGGGCCTGCCCTAGTGTTGGTGTGTGAGAGTGTGCTAGACTGAGAAAGAAACGGGTTTTTAATGGAAAGAAGGGGGAGGGAAAGAGAGAATACTAAGGGCTGAAGGGGTACAGTTGTATGCTCCATTCCAGCTCAAAGGCAATCAAAAATTGTGGTCCTTCCTCATGCCTCAAAACAAATGCTGTTCCATTTTTTTATGTTTCTGGAAGCTTTCTTCTTTACAAAGCAGGTCTTCCTTCCTTCCTTCCTTCCTTCCTTCCTTCCTTCCTTCCTTCCTTCCTTCCTTCCTTCCCTCCCTCCCTCCCTCCCTCCCTCACCCTCCCTCTCACTTCTCATTTCTATTGATGAACAATAAGATCTCTAACATATCTCCTCCTCTCCAAAATCTAATAATTTTTAATTATATGTGCTAATCAGAGGGTTAGAATTACATCCAAATCTCTTTCTTCGATGTGCCAAACTCTTGATTTGCATTTTATATTTACAGTTTGGTCTCTCTCTCTCTCTCTCTCTCTCTCTCTCTCTCTCTCTCTCTCTCTCTCTCTCTCCAGTATGCTTGATATTTTTTGAGATGTGTTTTTCATTGTCTACAGAATAGGAGGGAGGGAGGGAGACTCAAAGGCATTTGTTTGGGTAGAAGCACAAATTATAATGTAGTCAAAATAGATGTGCTGAGAGTTGGAATAATACTTAGCCTATTTTTCAATTTGTAGTCAAGTCTTGTTGCGTAAATTCTGGCAAGCCTGTGGTTAGAATGGGAGCATTTTTCCTGACCTCCAAAATGCTTTTCTAGTTAACTGTAAATTTCACTTTCAAGAAAATGTTTCCAGAAAGGCAATAAACGATGGCAGCATTTTTGGCCAAATAATTTGGTTGGTGCTTGTTTATTTATCAAGGAAGAAAGAAAAAATGCTGGAAAGTGGCCCTCAGGAGAGGGAGATGATGCTCTGCAGCAGAGCATATGTTTTCTGGATAGGAAGATCACCACGTCTCTAACTCTAAGTATAATTAACAATAAAATAAAGGGATTTCCATGTTTGGATAGCATGAGCTAACTACAAGCTGGGATTTCATCTGATGCAAAGCAAATTGATCAGTCTGAGGGACAGGGAACTTTTTTGAGACCTAGCAAGGCATTTCAAATTTGGAGAACAAAATGGCCCTTATAGTAGATGTTGTGAGGTACACAGAATCGGGACCATTCGTAAGGTTGCAGCATAGAAAATTTATTCAAGCCTATATGGCAGAATCTGGTCAACTAATGATCAGCACTAAACTGATGCCAAATAAGGATCAACAGAATTCAAGGGGAGCTGGACCTAGATCTTTGTGGAAATACACGGATTCTAAATTGATGAGACATTTAACTCCACCCCCTCAGCTCTGCCTGCTCTTCTCCTATAGATGTGGGCAGACATCAAATCCACAATTCCCAGAAA